AATGAAAATGTGTAAGATGGATTAGCCACAAACTCAAATTACTGAAATACATGCAAATGAGAAATTCTCACAGAATCCAGAGAAGAAGGCAAAAAAAGTCAAGATGAGAAAAATGAAGGATCAGAAAGGTCCAGAAGGCTGGTCCAGGAGATGAAAATCTGTGGAAGAGGAATACCTGACCCTGAGATCAATGCAAATAAAATCAAAACAATAATCAAACTAATTGAAGAAAATTTTGAGAAGAACAGAGTGCCTACAAGTCGAAAAGGCTCACAGGGTACCTTTAAAATTTAACAAAAAGAAACACCTAGAAATATATTCTGGTGACTTTTTAAAAAAAATTCAAAGATAAAGAACAATTTTTACAAAACTGTCAGACAGAGAAAGCAGGTTAGCTATAAAAGGGCAAAAGTCAGGCTGACCTCAGATTTTTCTCTTTTAATTCTATACGCCAGAAGACAATGAAACAATACTTTATCTTCAGAGTTTTAAGGCAAAATAGTTTTGAACCAAGAATTGTATGTCCTGCCAAGTTGTTATTATTGTATGAAAGCAACTAGAAGATATTCTCCATCAACCAAGAACCTTCTGAACTGAAAAATTTGCTCAGTGATTTATAGCAGCCAACAGAGAACATGAATTAGAAATAACTAAAGACCAATGTAGTGACATACATTTGTAATCCCAGCACTCTGGATATTGAGACAGGAAGATCACCATGAGTTCAAGGCCAGCCTGGGCTATACATATACTGAGTTCAGGACCAGCCTGAACTACATGATGAAATCCTATCTCAAAAAATCAAAAACAAAATAAAAAACAAAACAAAAACCCAGGGAGGCAACTGTATGAAAGACTTTGATTGTAAACATTAAAAGTAATTAAGAAGCATGAAGTCTAATTGTTATATATGAGGTAATAAAACTAAATATAGAAACATTTGTAGGCTAGATCTAAATTTTTCAGTTTATACAGTTTTAAACTGTCAAAGAGGAGCTGGGGATATGGCTCAGTGTCATAGTGCCTGCTTGGCAAGAGGTCTTGAGTTCAATTTCCAGTACCGCCCCCAAAAATAGCTGTTCCCTTAGTTTTACACTGAATGTATTCCCTTAGGGAACCTGGATATACTGTCAAAAGAGCATGCCAAATATTCAATGTATTGAACAAATAGTTTTATTTTTGCCATGTAGTATTAGAAGAAAGGAACATATTCTTAAGTCAAATGTATGTAAAATAGGTGCTTTGTCACTGTGGACAAGTAAAAACATTTTTAAATGTTAATCTGACAAAATTGAAAAATGGTACAGTTTTATTTCCCTTAGTTTACATACAGAAGAAAACAGGTAGCAAGTCTGTCCATAATGTTAATATTAATAATTTAAGGAGAAAATTTCCAAAGCACTGGTTGGAGGAAGGTGAGTCAAACCTTTTCAATATACTGAATTGAGAAAAATGGTAGTTACTATGTCATACAGTAGTTCATATAAATCAGTAAGGCATCAAGTTGTTACAGGCGAAAATACAATATATACATTCCAAGTGTTTAGAACTGAAGTGAAAAACCAAGAAAAGGTAACAAAAGAAAAACAGCAAGAAAGCATTAAAGTTAGCACAAGAGACTGGCAGAGGCAGAGGTGAGTTATACTGGAAAATTAATTCAAAGTTCATTAAGAAACTGAATCTCTGATCCATGATCTCTGATCACATTTGCATAAAACAAAGGATAAAGGGATTTTAAAGTAATAAACTCTTTAGGTCACAGAAACAGCAAATTTTTATCAGGCAGAAATAAGGATATTATAAGATATCAATATTTTCCTAGCTTCTCTATTGTTTTCCAACAGTTTTTGTTCAGCAGGAAGTGAAAGTGAACATAAAGTTATAACCTCTATGACAAGATAAAGGATTTATCCTGAAAGAGAGATACTATTTTAAAAAAAGTACTCTGGGATCTGCTCCAAAGTAAGCAGGGGACCTTTCTATTGGATTCATTTCCTTTTTTAACAGGAAGAATGGGAATCTTGCTTTGTCTCAACATATTCTTAATATAAGTATCTATTACTCTTTTGTTCGTTAAAGCTATCAGTTAGGCTCTTGCAAATTCAATAGTCCTTTAAAATTTACCTCCATTAAATGCATTTTTTTACTTTATACATTGGTGATACGACTACTCAGTGGAAGTTTAGAAAAATTCACATACTATATAATTTGCATATTACTTTAAAAGATTCAGATCCATATTGGTCAAAAACTCCTATAAAGGATGCCTAGTTAGAATGAATGTATTCTTCTAAGGTACCTATTATGTTTCCTGCTACCTACAGTAACTTGCTGATAGTTCTACAGGAACTGTACAGTAAACACTCTTCATATGGGGCACTTTGTGTGCGTGTGTGCATGTGTGTGGTACCAGGGTCTTTCCACTGAGCTATATCCTGAGACATTTGATTTTTATTTTGGGCTAGGTTGTTGCTAAGCTGCCCAGGATGTGCCTGAACTTGTGATCTTCCCACCTCAGCCTCCCAAATGCAGGGATTCCAGGTGTGTGCCAAAACACCTGGGTGGAACTCTTAGCTTTTTAAAACTTTTTCAAAGGGCTAGAGGTAGAGCTCATTGATAGCATGTACAGGGACCTATGTTTGATCCCCAGCATGAGGAAAAAATAATTATAAAATAGTACTGAATAACTTAGGATATATACTGATTACTAAGAGTAATACTCTTGGAAGAAACTTTTTCCTACATATATTCATGATGTACAGGAACACAAAATGTTATACTTGGAGCTATATTCTTTTTAGTATTGAAAATCTGGATAACAATTATTCTGAATGGTTTCCTTCATAAAACAGAACACATTTTATACTTAAGAAAGGATGAACCAATTGCTCTAAATTCCAAACAAATTATGTTAATTTCTAAATATGTTAGTTTTAAAATGCACAAAGCAATCATCTCAAACTTGACAAATGTAAGGAATTACTACACTTTTGGAAACCAACCAGGAAAAATGGAAAACCACTCTTACAAATAATTATGTCTTGAATCATAGGAAATATATAGATAGCATCATCTTCTAGTTATATAGCAGCTTTTGAAAAGGTGGAACTTCTGTTAGAACAACAATTCTGATGGCCATTTTTTTCAACTTCTGGAACAGTAAACTGGAAAAGGACCTTGAAGTTTACCTAGCTCAACCACTACACTGTCAAGATGAGGTTCACAGGGTGCAGGAGCACATGCCTGTCAGCTACCAGGGAGACTGAGATCGGAGGGTCACGTGAGCCCAGGAGTTTGAGACTAGTCTGGGCAACATAAGGAGACCCTGTCTCAAAACATAAAAATAAAAATAAGGCTCAGAAAAAGCAAGTACAGTGATACCTTGGTTGTCAAACTCGATTTATTCCAAATTTGTGTTTGAACATGGTAAGTTTGAGAAGTGAACATATTTTTCCATAAGAAAGAATAGAAAACAATTAGTTGGTTCTGAGGCCCCAAAATTACATTTATAAATTCATTTTCCCAGGACTTTAACAGATTTGGCAATGATTTCTTTCTTTAATTCTATCATGGTTCTGTTTTCCTTTTATCTTTACTGCTGGTACCACTAACATTTTTGGAGCCATGGTTAAAATATTTTACACAAAAAAGCACACACACACAAAAAGCATAATGACTATTTTAATGCATTAACGTAAGTACTACATGTTGTCCAAGTGAGAGCAATACTTAGACTGAAGTGTCACCCCTTTGTGTCCATGGCGAGATGTGACATGTGACTCCCTCAGCCTGTACAGATTTTTTCAAGTTCGATTTTCAGCTTGACTATCAAATACCAAGCAAAGTTACACATACCAAGTAGATATTTTTGAACTTTGCTATTCAAGTAGTGGGAAGTTCAAGCTTAGAGCTGTGTGACAAGTGAAGTGTCATGGTTATTTGTCTAAGGAAACACAGTTACTATGAGGCTGGTGGAAGAAGGACCTGCACAGGTTTTCTGAATACACATCCAGAATCATGATCACTCTGTAGTTTGGTTGGCTAGATACATAGTTCAACTGCCCCATGGTTCCAAGAACCCTCCCAAATACTGAAATCTGAGGGTGCTCAAGTCTGTTCTATAAAATGGCGTATTATTTGCATATTACCACGTACATCCTCCCATCTTGTATGTGTTACACCTAAACCATGTAAATAGTTGTTATACTATATTGTTTAGGGAATAATGACAAAAAGCTGTGTACATGTTTAGCACTGAAGCTGAATTTTTCTTGAGTATTTTCAACCTGAAGATGGTTAAACCTACAGATGTAGAATGTACAGACAGAGCGGGCATTCTACTTTGGAATCCTATTCCTTTCTGTACTCCTGTGCTTTTTCCGTCCAATACTTTGAAAGAGCAGCAAACTAATCTTTGTGGTATTATCTGTACTCAAGGTTCCTTTTAATGTTTTAAAGATCTCCTCCTCCACAGCCAGCTTTTCAATGAAATATTGTTTAGAATTCCAATGTAGAAAAGCTAAACTGCTTTTAATTTTTTTAAGTACAGTGCTTTTGCTATAACTCATTACTTTGTCCCTAAACCTGAAATACTTTGACAGTATCTTGGGTCTCCAAGGAACAGTTTTTATTTCTACTGCTGAGTGTTCTAGAACACTGCTTCTCAAAGTATGGTTCTCAAACAATTCACATCATTAGAGGGCCCATTGGAAATACACAACTCCAAGCCAGACCTACTGAAATTAAGTCAAATTAGGATGCCTCGGTGATTTGTTATGCACACTGACATTTGAGAAGCTTCTCAAAGCATATCAAGAAACACATATATTGCATGCCCCAATTTTTATTAGTCATGACTTGCAACTACCAAACTTATCTTGTTATTCAGTGACAGTTTAGAATTCATACTGTGTAGCAATGCTACACAACAAACCAAACTTTGAAGATGTTCCCAATTAAACAACAAAACAAAACCTGCATATGTTCATTTAAAAACATACCTCTTATCAAAAAATGTTGAATTCTCTTTCCTCTTAGTGAATCCATTGGGTAGAAGTTTTAAGTTAATACCTTGCTTTCTGGCACGATTTTTCATAAAGTACATCTAATGAAACAAAACAGATAAATTAATCTTAAAATGCCTTACAATTGAGAAATGAGTAAAACCATGTTCAATAATAGTTAAGATTTACTGAGTACTTATGTTTCAAAATAACTCACAGGAAAATTTCATTCATTATTTACAAAAATACTGAGACATGTATACTTGATCATGTTCCTTTTAGCAGTAAGAATTAGTGAAATTCCAACATCATACAGCTAAACAGAAAACCTATATTAAAATGCAGGCCCATCAATTCCACAGCCTGTGCTTTTAACCATTTCATCCATAAGCCAAAGGAAGAATATCCTTCGCTTTTTGGAGGGATGTGAAGGATTAAATTCAAAGTTCGCACATGCTAGTTAAATATTCAACAAATGAACTACTATACATCCCTAAATCCAGAGATTTTCCTCTTACTTTTGTGGTTTTACACCAGTTAGGTCATACCTCCTGATTTATTACTAGACAGACAGCTTACTCAAAGAAGGAACCATAGTGTGGCCTGCTACAAGACCTAATTAAAGTAGCCATTGCTGTGGCTGCAAAATAGGATAAGAAAACATCTGCCTCAATTATGTGTTACTCCACTGACCATCAGGGTTAGTTAAACTGAACTAACTCTCAAGAGTTGTAAAGGGATAAATTTGTAGGATACATAAGAGGGAAATTTATATTCTTGAATGTACATATTAAGAAAGAATTATATATTAAAGATTAAAGAAGTACAGTACGTATGAAGATTTAACAATAACCCAATCATGGGGCTGGGGATTTAGCTCAGTGGCAAAGTGCCTGCCTGGCAAGCGAAAGATCGTGAGTTCAATTCCTGGTACTGGAAGAAAAGACAGAAAAACAAAACAAAACAATAACCCAATCATATACCTTAAGGATTTTTAGAAAAAGAATATCAAAATAAACTAGAAGAAAACAAAGATATAACAAAAGTGAGAAGGACACATTAACAGAACAGAAAAGAAATATATTACTAATTGTTCTAGAAAAAAACAGAAGATACAACCAATATCATAAATTAAATGACTACAACTCTTGCAGACATGTAAAGGAGAATATTATGAAGAACTTTCAACAAATCAAAATTTCAATCAAATGCACAAATTTTTACACAAATTAAATCTATCAACAACTCAAGAGACAGACAGCTGGGGATATAGCTCAGTGGCACAGTGCCCGCCTGGCAAGTGCAATGTCCTGAGTTCCACTCCTGGTACCAAAAAAAAGGAGACACAAAGAACCTGAACAGTCCTGTAAACAGGAAAAAAAACCTGAGTGGCCCAAATTCTATGTCCACACTGCTTTAATGATAAATTTTTATAAACTCCCAAGGAAAACATATTTCCAATATTAGCAAATGTGTCCAAAAGCAAAACAGAAACCATCCCAACTAACTTTATGAAAATAACACCATATTGATACAAAAAGCTAAGAATATCAAAAGGGGAAAATTAGAGGTCAATTTCATTTATGAGGCTGGGGATATAGTTCAGAGGCACAGTGTCTGCCTAGCAAGCACAAGGTCCTGAGTTCAATTCCCAGTACAAAAAAATTTATTCATGAGCAGAAATATAAAACAAATGGATGGATAATGGACACACACTAAATTCTGTGATGTATTAAAAGCATGATATGTTATGATAATAGCATACCATGCAATATTAGCCTAAAATACAAGATGAATTAAGACTACTCATATTTTTATTAGAGTATGATAGGTTAAAAGGATAAAAGTGAATAAAATACTGAAAAAAGTAGGTTATAAAATATAACCACCATTCATTATAAAATTTATTAGCAAACCAGGATTGGAATTTCCTTAATCTAACAAACTAGATGTACAAAAAGAAATCATGAAGTTTGCCCTCTAAAATCAAGGAATAAGATGAAAATGTACAAAAGAGTTAACATAACAAGCCTGAAACTAAATACTAAATATTTCCATACACTGACATAAAACTTTCGCTAAAATGATAGCGGTTCATCACTGTGTCTAAATTTTTATTTAATCAATGCAGCTTTTGTTAAACCTGGTTTTCACTCTGGGACTCTGAAATTGCTGTGAAGAAAAATCTCCCAAATTGATCTGCAAAATACAATCCAATCAAAATTCTCAAGAGGGTGAGAGGGGACTATGTAATTAGACTGATTCTTAGTATCTGTACAGAACTGCAAAAAGCAGTGAATAGTCACACTCTAGAGAACAAAGTAGAAGGACTTACTCTATCAGATTATGAGTTAAGTAAAAAACTGAGGGGCTAGGGAGAGGTTGGTGGTTAGAAAAAAACGTACTTAGGAAGAAAAAAGCTTTACTGCACTATAGCATAGTAGAGTGAATAAAAATAACAATAATTCATTGTAGATTTCAATATACCTAGAAGAAAAGATTTTGAATGACCCCAACACAAAGATATAATAAATGTTTGAGATAATGGATATACCAATTATCCTGATTTGATCATTATACACATGCATTGAAATAACATACTACAGCCTATAAATATGTATAGTTATATGTCACTTAAACTTTTTGAATTGCATGAAAAAACATTACAGTAACTGAGAGTGTGTAGTGTTACTGCCGGATATACAAGTTGACTACCAAGATGGAATACACAGGTCAAAAACTGACCAAAACATATAAGGATGATTGATAAATGACAAAGGCGCTTCTGTAAAGCAGTAGTGAAAAGATGAACTTCCTAGTACACAGTGCTAGGAAAAGTGGATTTTCCACATGTGAAGTTAAATGGGACTTCCACCAAAAATCAACTCCAATTTAAAGACCAGAATGTGAGGCACAATACTATAAAGCAGTGGTGGCAAAACTATGACATGTGTGCCACAATGGGCTGTTTGTATGATTGAAAGCTCTAAAAAGTTTGCCATCACTGCTATAAAGCTTTCAGAAAATACTAGGGAAAAATATTTTCATTCATTTCAAAGTAGGAAAGGATTTCTGTAAAAAAAAATAGACAACAAAAGGAAGCACATGATAATTTTGATGATATTAAAATTGGGAACATTTGTTCACTCTGCCTATCAAGTGCAAAGAGAACTATAAAAATAAATGGTATTTATAACACATAATCAACTATTGACTAACATCTAAGAAATACAAGAAAATGAAAGCTGATCAAGAAAAGGATGGGAAAAAAAGCAGAAGTTTCTGCTACTCCAACACTAAATGGTCTCTGAAAAAAATATAAATCTGTGATATGAGATAATCACAATACCAAAAAATTTCTAGAATACCAGTTGTGAAGTATTGCAAACGTTCAAGCTTTAATTTTGCTTCTTTTTTTTTTTGGATTTTTTCCGGTACTGGGAACCGAACTCATGACCTTGCGCTTGCCAGTCAGGCGCTGTGCCGCTGAGCTAAATCCCCAGCCCCTCAAGCTCTAATTTTGAAAAGTGCTTAAGCAATGAGAAAGGGATGTAAGAGTATGAAAACTAAATGTATTTGAACAGCAAATTCTGTTAGCTATTCTTCCAGGACTGGAATCGAATCACTTCCCAATTAATTCTAACGGCATGAGGTAAGCAGTCATCTCTCACACGGGGCATACCACAGGATCTTATAACTCGTCTGCTTGTTTCCAATCTTCCATTCTTAACCCCTGAAGCCTACAAAGCAAACAGGCTCAAAATCCTCCCACAATTTCTACAATCACTTAGACTATACTGAGAATCCTTACTACTTTCTCTAACCTCATGCTTAACATTCTCCACAGTCAACGTGCTTCTCTTGATTCCTCAGGCAGATCAATCTCATTCCTGACTCAGGCTTTACTTTTGCTTTTATCACTACAAGGAATAGTCTTCCTCCAAATGTTTAATGGTAGTTTTTTTCCTACTGTTCAGTTGGCTGCGTAAGTATTTCTCAGAGAAGCTTCTCCTGACCACTGTATTGAAAACAAACCTCTGGCTGGGTGTGGTGGTGCATACCTGTAATCCCAGCACTCGGGAGGCTGAGGCAGGAGTATCATTGCCAATTTGAGACCAGCCTTGGCTACAAAATGAGCTTAAGGCCAGCCTGAACTGCACAGTGAGACCATCTCAAAAAGACAAAACAAACAAACAAATAGAAAAACCAAGATGAAAACAAATATCTGGCAACATTTCCCCAGCAAACACCATTTTCATTCTTTTAATCCCTATTTTCTATATGCACTTAATTCTATCTAAAATTATACTTCTTCCTCTATGTATTTCCTCTCTCCTACTCACTATTGTATTTATAGTAACTAGAATGGCCCCTGATCACAGTTAAGTTGAAAAAAAAAAAAAATCTAGCTGATTGGAAGGAATTCTCACTAGGAGAGATTAGAATACTTACATGTTTATTGCTTATTGGCTTCTTCAAAAGAGCATCTCTAGAAATATGGTCAGCTGTTCTTGCCACATCTTCCAAAAATCGATAATCTAAAATTTTCAGAATAGAAAAATAAACAAGTGACGCACATTAATTGCCAGGAAGCATTAATCTGCTGTGCATAAAATGGCTTACCACTTAGGAGATTCATTTCAGTAAACTCTTGTATTGAAACATAAGCAGTTTTATCTCGAACTCCATTACACGTCAGTTCTGCTTTGTGTTTCTTTACACAGGACAAGCTGAAGAAACAAAGAAGAGAAATACGTTTATATTTTGAAGTGAGAAATATAGAGATGTAAGTAGTAAGGTAGAAAGTTATATGAATACCTGCAGGAATACCGCATACAACGTGGACATTTGTACTTTGCTTCCTCTGTACCACAAGTTTCACACCTACAAAAACCAGATGCAACATTCAATTATCAAATATTAATTTCACTTATCTATTCATAAACTCTGAATGCTGATTCAATTACTTGACAGGTGCTCATAGTGATTACAGTATGTGTAAGCAACTCTGATAAAATATTTGACAGCTGCCAAACACTGTTGAAAATTCTCTATGAAACCATCTCCAAATGACATCTACATTTACAATGTTGTTAGTGATATGTGATTAAAGAAAAAAATTATGATTTTTAAAAAATCACCTCACTTTTATTTTTCATTATCCACTGATATTGTTGTATCTTGGCAATCTGGTCACTCTGTGGTAGTACGTAATCAGAAATCTGTTCCTAAGTATGTTTTGATATTTTAAAAGCATACATAGCACGAAAAGAAGACAGAGTAAGACCCACCCAAATTTAAAAAGGAGCATTCATGTCTTTTTTCCTCAGCTCCACACCTAACCCAGAACGGGCATCAAAATAATTTATAAATGCTTTTACCCATCGTCTGTCTGTTCTCTATGCCCACAGAATATTGACAAGCTTTTAGAACTACTTCTACTTGGTTTGCTATGTTCTACACTGCAATATCCCAATAATCTGACACAATTTCATTTCCTATGTCATCACAAGCATGATGACACACTAAGGAAATTAAAAGCAATAAACATTACTGTACATACAGAAGCTCACTAAATTCAAGTTAATGTCTGCCTTTTAACTCAATTCACTTTGTCACTGTTGGTTTTATTAGACTTCCTTATCTTTATCGTCTTTCAAACCAATACTGAGTCAAAAGTTTATTGTTTGCTAGGTTTTCTAGTTCCCAGAATGTTTACTTCGTAAGTTGACCATTACCCACAGATCATTTATATAATTTCATTGAATTTGTTATTTAACAACATCTCCCATTACCTCTCTCTGAACAATATCCAGGGACCCAAACTTGTGGTTATTTTTCACCATTCCCCTTTGCCATTAGTGTAGTTCCCAGCAATCTAGACAAAAGAAGACTCCACAGCTTTATAACCCCAACCGAATTTCTCCCAGCCCTACCTTGACATGGCCAGTTTTCGCTTGCAGCCCACGGGGGGATTTATCTGAGGATCTTCTTTCACCTTTATATCTTCTGTTATTTCTTTCTTTAGGAAATGCTCCTCTTCTTTTACGCACGCTCCATCCATCATCTCCTGTTTTATATTTTGATCAACAAATATCTCCTGCTTTATCTCCCAGTTACCTTCCTCTTCCTTCACTTCCGGCCAATCCATTACCTCTTCCTTCACCTTCACTTTCTCTTCCTTCACGTCTGGTTCATCCACCTTTTCTTCTTTCACTACAAAACTACCCACTTCCTGCTTCACCTCCAATACGTCTGCTTTCTCGTCCTTCACCTCAGGTCCATCCTCTACCTCCTGCTTTACCCACTGTGCATCCAACATGCCGCTTTCTACATCCGACCAGTCCATAATTTCTTGTTTCACAACTGTTAAGTCCATGCGCATCTCCACTGCCCTTTGCTCACTTCCTTCCTCTGCATCCTCTACCTTCTTCATTCCTCTAAGTCCATTTCCCTCCTCACTTCCGCCAGGCTCCTCCATCCCAGCAAAGTCCCCGACCTCCACCTCCCTACCAGACTCAGGACCTAGCCACGCCCCCTCAGGTACCCCCTGGAGACCTCCTCCCGAGGCCCCTTCATTTTCAGTAGCAAATGCCATCAGCTCACGGTCCTTGGCTTACGCTGCCACTCTGTCCTTCAATGTGGCTGCGCCACAGCAACAGGCAGGACCACCAGGCGAAAACCGGCGGTACACGTGTGGACCAGAGTCGCTAGACGAACTGGCAGGCAGGAGCGCTCCAACTGTCGTAAAGCACCGCTCGGCACAGCACTTCACGACTTATCGAGTTCTTTACGGCTGAGGGGCGGTCCAGCCCTATCCTCAGCGAGAAACTTGTGAAGCCACGCCCACTATCACGCCCGCCTGCAGTCTCCTGGGTGGGTTATTGCTACCTCCTTACCCGAAGAAGTACTCTGACAGAGCGAAGCTGTGAAGCTAGAGCAGGGAGACCCGAACTGTTAAATCTTGTAATGGGAAGACCCACCCTAATCTGTATTAACGGATTAAATCTAGTCCTGTTTGAAAATGATGGACACACGTGATGTTATATCTTCCCAAGCTTTAGCTTCTTCACCTCTGCACTAGGGTCGGTGGTATTACAGATTCCTCCGGGTCAGTGCGAAGATTACATGAAATCATGCGGTACCTGTGGCTGTTATTACTGGGAATCCTAATAGGTTTCAAGTATGCACTATTATTTTCAACTCTATTATCAGTAACTTTATACCGCCCTGTTTTCAATTCCCAGCATTCTACACGATTTTTTTTTTTTTCTTTCTGTCTTTTTGAGACAGGGTCTCGCTATGCAGTTCAGGCTGGCCTTGAGCCCACTTTGTAGCCCAGGCTGGTCTCGAACTGGCAATGATCCTCCTGCCTCAGCCTCTCGAGTGCTGGGATTACAGGTGTGCGGCACCACGCCCGGCTCCTTTTCTTCTTCTTATTGGTACATTTTAGATATACATTATAACATTAATCATTGGGAATGTGTACTTGTATCTGATATATCTTGCTTGGCTAAGATCTGTTCTTACTAGTTTTTATGGTTTTTGAGACAGGGTCTCACTATATAGTTTAGGCTGGTCCTGAACTCCCTATGTAGCCCAGGCTGGCCTTGAACTGTAGGCAGTCCTCCTGCCCAAACCTCCCAAGTGATGGGATTACAGGTGTGCGCCACCATGCCCCGCTCTAAACGATTCTTTAGGGGTTTTTTGTATGTTTGGTTTGTTTTGTGAGATGGGGTCTGGCTTTTGTGGCCTGTTCCCCAGCTTTATGTATTCTTTTCTGTTTTTTATTTATTTGTCTTTTGAGTCGGGGTCTCACTTTGCAGTGAAGATTGGCTTTAAACTCACTAAGTCGTCCAGGCTGGCTTCAAACTCCCAAGTGCTGGGATTGCAGTGTGGTCCCCACATTTTCTTAAATATATATTCTTGTTTTAAAAGCCTGAGTCAAAAATTAAATGGTCAGAAATAGATTTAAATGCACTCCTATACACTGAAGAAAAAAACGAAGACTGCATCTGTTTCAAGGCCTTTTAAAAAGTATATCCACGTTCTGGGCAATAGGCACATTCGTCTAATTTTCAGACTGAGATATCTATTTTCCTCAGTGAGTAAGGAAACTACATGGGTTTTTAGCTGTAGGCCTTTTTGTGCAATCCCCTCATACTGTGTGAGTTTGTAGGGCATTCACATATTGGTCAGGGAATAGAAATTTTGAGTGAGTGAGCAGAATGAAGAAGGGAAGTAATTTAGCACCTTTTGTTTAAGTTCTGGGGATCAAACTTGGGGCTTCACATGCACTAAGTGTGTGGTTCTACCATTGAGCTACATCCCCAGCCTTGAGGTATTTTTGAAACCTTAGTTGAGGTACTACTGTTGCAGTAGCACTGAAAGTAGCATGAAAGTAAGTTTTTGGTGAATTAAGTAAAAATCTCCCTAAGGGTTGTGAGGAGGAAATTCCCACAGGAATCATATGGACAATTGGTCTCAGAACTTGAAGCGACCTTCAGGCTATGTTACCTTTTCTATAGGAAAGGAGGCTAAATGTCAGAAAGAATCTATGGTGTAGTACCATATGTATTAATAGTGTGTACCTTTTTATTGATAAATAATATTCCATTATATTATTTAGGTTCATGAGTATTTGGGTGGTTTCCAGTTTGGGCTGTTATGAAAATACTGTTTCTACATTTATATACAAGTTTTTGTGTTAACATTTTTTTCCCTTTAGTAGATACCTAGAAGTAGAATCACTGGGCCATAGGTAGATTATATTTAATTTTTTAGAAGAAGCTAAATTATTTTCCAAAGTAGTGATATAATTTTACATTTCTGCTGGCTGAGAGATTCCATTTTCTCCATGTCCTTGCCAACACAGTATTGTCAGTTTTTTGATTATAGGTGTTTAGTGGTTATCTTAGAATTGTGAATAAATTTGCATTTTTTTTGTCACGTAGCCAGGGCTGGCCTCAAACTTGCCATCAACTTTCAGAAAACTGGTGCCACTATGCCCAGCAACATTTGTTGTTTCAAGCTGCTAAGAGTATGGGTATTCTCTGCACAGTAATAGATGGTTAATGCCAAATTGTTGCATGGTTTACAAATTATTTTCTCCCATTCTGTGGCTTGTTTTCATATTCCTAGCTGTGTTGTTTAAAGAGCGATAGTTTTACATTTCAATCAAATCCAATGTACTAGTCTGTTTAGTGAATTGCACTTCTTGTGTTACAGTAATCAAGTGTTGCCTAGCACAAGGTTCCAAAGATATTCTCCTATACAGTATCTCCTAGAAGTTCTATAGTTGTGGGTTTTTTTTTTTTTTAATTGGGGGTTGAATCTAGGACAACTCTATATGCTGGACTATATCCCTAGCCCTTTTGGGACAGTTTTCTATGTTGCTTGGACTGGTCTCAAATTAGCGATCCTCCTGTCTCTGGCCTCCTGAGGCTCTGAGATTATAAAGGTGTCAGTATTAAAGCATTCACTGTGCTGTCCCTGGAAATCAATAATACTAGTTTACCCTCTTCCCTATTGCTCTCCTCTGACTCTGCATCATCTCTGAAGCCAAAATTAACCTCAGCCCCTTTGAAATTCTCTGTGGTAGACTTCTACCAGCCAATCTTTTGCTGGACCCCAAAACCTGCTTTGTGGCAAAAATATGCCATCTCCCTATGTCAAACTGTTCAGACCACCTCTGAATATAATGACAAAATTAGCCTCAAGCCTAATTTCTCCTTTCCAGGGTCACCTCCTAAAGTGCACCCAGGGTACTGGTTTTATCTCAAAGTTCTCCCACCAGACAAAAAGCCTCTTCAGTCTGCCTGGGCTAGATCTCATCAAGTCCTCCTGATTTAACCTATGGCCATCAAACTTCAGGGCTTCTCCCTGTAGGTACATGTGTCTATACTGAAACCTACCCAGTCTCACCCGTTTGATCTACCGGAACAATTTTCTTCTGAGCCAATTAAAGATCCATACTTTCACTTCTGGGGTGGGAATCAGGTGACACCTAGCTATCATGTTATCTATTCCTCAGAAAGCTCTAGGGCTCTCCTGACTGTCCTGCTTCATGGTATGAATTTCATTAAATTTACTGATGCTTTCCCTCTGCTCTTGATAAATCCTTTTACCACCCTAGTCACCAGCCCTATATATGCCATCAGACACAGCAATATATAGATGAATCTTAGAATTGGTGTCTTAACAATATTGTGTCTTATAATCAAGAAAAATAGGATGTCAACTATTTAGATTACCATTAATTTTAGTTAACATTGTTTTATTGTTTTGAGTGTACAAGCTTTTCCATATCATTTTGCTAAATTTATTCTTAATTTCTATTCTTTTTGATGTGATTTTAAAATAAATTTAACTTCACTTTGGATATTTCATTGCCAGAATGTAGAAAGAAATCTGATTTTTATATGTTGATTTTGTATCCTACTTACTCAACTAATTTATTTTATAATGTCCATATAACTAGATTCAGTTAATTTAGAAGCTTTATCTGCATTTATGAGGAATATTTATTCATACAGTTAGTTTCTGATCTATGATGTTTCAATTTAAGACTTTCCCACTTTCCTGTGATGCTAAAATGATACACATTTAGTAGAACCATTCTTCTAGTTTTGAATTTTGACTTTTCCTAGTGCTATGTGGTATGAGACCTCTGGCTGTGCTGGGCAGTGGCACACGCTGCAAGTCCCACACAGCCCTGAGATCACTAGGGAAAATACCTGATATTCACTGTGTTGCTAAATTAGGATATTTTGTAGGTTAGGTGTATTAAATACATTTTTTTCACTATGGGGGATTGAACTCAAGACTTTTGCACTGAGCTTTATATCAAGCTCTTTAAAAAAAATTTTTTTTTTTTGAGACAGGTTTCAGGAAGTCACTCAGGCTGGGCGTGAATTTATGATCCTTTTTCCAGAGTGCTGAGATTACAGGTACGCTCCACAATATCAGATTTACATACATTTATTTACTAACAATATTTTCAATTTATGACTTTATTAGGACTTAATGCCATGGTAGATTGAGGAGTATCTATATTTCTCTTTTCTTGTAGTGTTGTCAGATTTTGTTATCAGGGCTCTTACCATATTTAATGTCTTTGATTTTCCATATCTTTACTGATTTGAAATGCTTTCTATGAGAGTTCCCAAGGTAATTTATAACCTCACTATTTTGTGGTCTGATGGTATACAATCTGTGTTATCTGGCTTCTAAGTTTATTTTAATTACTATATTTTTTCATAACTGTTTTCCCCAGTGTATATTGCTATGTATTTCTAATCCTTTCTTATCTCTTTGTAGGTATTTATTCTGCTTACTCAAAACTTTCCACTTTTTTGTCCATTGAATCAGTTCCTCTAATATAAATTATCCAATTTAAAAAAACTTTTATGGACTTACACTCCTAAGATGTTGCAATATTTTCCCTTGTGATCTCATATTCCCTTGTTAGTATCAGTGAGCATAGCTGTAATTCATATTTGAAAGGTAGCATGAAAAGCCTAGGACTTGGATTATGACTCTTCTAATGATACATGGAGGAGTAGTTAAGGAGCAGAGTGGATGAGCCTCAGGATAGAAAGCCTGTGATGTTACTTTCTGGATTCTACCACACTCATTGTGCCCTCCTAAGAAGAGCACATGCCTCTTGGATTAATTCCCAGTATCCCTGCATTTGCCATCCCTTTTCCAAAAGCTATTCTTATGGCAATCATCTAGACTCTTAGGTAGAAGG